CCCCAAAACCCCAAAACCCCAAAACCCCAAAACCCCTGGAGTAACTCTTGGATTGAAATTAAACTATTCAATTATTTACCGATATGCGTATAGCTCGCTTTTCCAATAAAAATATATGGCCGGTGGTTATTCAAAATCAGTCTCTCGGAAGCAGGACTGATATACCTGCCGTGGTCAACACTCCTGTGACTTCTGGTATTAGCATTGTTGAAGGACTCATTGCTGTTGATCCTTGTTTGACTCCTTTGAATGTCTTCTTTATTTCTCTTATACTCCATAGGATTATTCACTAAAAATAAAATCAGGAGAGTTTTCTTCAAAATTACCTAAAATATGGCTAAACTGCTTCCTATCCTTCCCAAGATGAATGATCTTGGCCTTGTCATTCCTCTTGTGTTTCTTAGGTCCATGCCTCTTGGTTTTCATTATAAGAATCTGCTTCTTTTTACCGAATCTTTTCTTATTTCTAAAGGAATATACTTGTTATTTTTTGAAGAAATAGCCAAGTTTGGGTGCAAAATCAGTAATCCAGTTCTCATGCTTACCTTAGATTTCTTCTGTGAGTTCCTGACAGAATAGAGATCAGTATTGAGCCTATCGAAATTCTCTGAATTTTTAAAGGCTCTGGATGATCTTGATTGGGAGCTCTTGTGCTGGTCTGCGAAATTATATGGCTTCAAGAACAACTCCTTGTGATTTCTTTTGACTAACTTCTCTCTCTTAAGATGATAGGACTCTGCACTTGGTCTCAGGAAATCATTCTCTAAAGATCGCTGACGGATCTTATCAGTATGAATTTCAATATAATTTCTATTTTTAGACCTGTTCTGAGTCTCAAGGACACGTTCTAATGACCTTGAAATTTTGGCTCCTTCACTTATGATTCTATCAACAGAGGTAGTCATTGACAGTTTCTCGGGATTAAATTGGCAGAGAATCGGCTCGAAGCTACATTCTTCAACTTCTTTGATGAACTTCGTATTTCTCTTTTCCTCAAGCTTAGCCTCTTTCTTCTGGAGGAACATTTGGTTGCGTTCTAAGAGGCTAAGGTTAGACCATCCTTTTGCTTCGTTATCTAGCTCAAGTTGTTCTCTAACAGGATCTAAAAAATCATTCCTTAAGCTCTGGTTCTCCTCATTATAGACATAATGGCTATGGAAAGTGGCTGCTTTCGGCTTGGAGGGGTAAGTGTAGCTAGTCCGGTCATTTCTGGCATGATACTCTTCCTCATCAATTTCCTTAATTTCATTGATTTTCTGCTCCCTATTTTTGCCTAGTTTTCTCCCCATGCATCAGTAACCTTTGCTCTACAGGAAGAGATTCATACTGAGTTTGGACCCTCTGCTTGGTTGAAATATTAATTATCTTAGGAGATGCAGACTTTTTACGTTGAGATTCAAGCTTGCTGAGCTTCTTCTTCTGCCATTGGTACAGATCATCTATCGTGCGGTGCAAACTTTTACTCCGAGGGTTGATCTGTGGTTTGTTAGTAATACCATGCGCTTTGTTATATCGCTCCTTATCACTGTTATGGAAGGCTACTTTCTGCTTGGCCTGGTGCAAGATATTTTGACGATCAAATACGTTATTTAATACCTATATTTTCTGTGATTTTATGAGTCCCTTCTGAGAGTTGGGGCTTGTCTTGAAGCTGGCTCTGGATTTGTTCCTCCCTTATTTTATGAAGCCTATCCTTCCTCATCTGAGCTCTTGCCGATGAAAGCTTGTTATCAAGGTTCTGAATATATTTGGTGTTTTTCTTTGAGCGTGGGTTTTGAGGAGGAAAACCTCCCTGATGTGCAATAATATTAACTAGCTCCTTATTTGATCTACAGATTACAATATTTTGGCATACTTTCTCTTTCCTTTTAGGCTGGTACAGTCTCTCATAGACGTTCTTGGGACCATGAGCACTACTAAATCTTGCTGGCCTAATCCTGTCTTCCTGGGTATCAGTTGGATGAGCCATTCCTTCCTCATGGTTTTCGAATGTAGAGAAATTATGACTGTACTGAATTAGTTCCTCAGGCTCTCGCAATTTCGAAGAACTGTATCTTTGTTGAGCTTGATTCTTGAATTTATTTTCCTCAGCTTTTTCATTTCCTAAGTGTGTTTACTAATAAGCCACTTACTGATCATGAAATTTTGTGTCTGGTCTACATACTCATGTTGCTCATGAATCAAGTCTTTATTCTTATTGGGTGTAGTTTTGTCACTTTTACTTAAGTATTTAGAAAGATCTCTGAATGTTCGAGATTGATTTGGAGAAGCATATTCTTCAGTGACCAACCGTGAGCTCTCAAGAAGTCCTCCTCCGAAAGACCCTGAAAACAGAGACTTCTCTCCATCAAAGTTCTTGCCATACCTATTGTTTTGCATGGAGGATGCTGACTCTTGGGATATTTTCTTGGATTTATTTGAACTGTCTCTAATTTTTGCCGCATTACTTTTCAGAGATTTCCCAAACTCCTTATCGTAAGATTGTTGATATGACTCGCCAGAGTGGCTAAGAGTCAGACTGTTATGATCATCGCAGTATGACTCCTTGGGCTTGAAACTTTTCTCTTCTTCCTTTATAGTCCTGCTGGTTAGGTGATTTACCTGACTATCATCGTCATCATCATAGCTAAGTTGTTTTATAGTCTGACCAATGTCTCCATGAACAACGTCTATTCTGCTTCCTGGACGTTCTCCGTAAGGGTGGTCATCATCTTGATAGTTCAGAAGAGAATATCTTGGGTCTATGAATCATAAGCAGGGATTTACCATCAGGAGGGAGATTTCTGTATGCCTCATTATTTCATTTTTGACGATTCTAGGTCACTGATAGATAGTTTACTTCCAATGTAAGGATCATCTTTCGGGTCACTAAACAATTTTGGAGAATTCTCGAACGTCAGCTTTGCTCTAATCAGAGGGGAGGAAGTGTCTCTCTCATCTTGCTTTCAAGTGTCTTGGTTATTCATCTATATTATATAAGACTTGAGCATCTTTTGAACTGATTTTAGGTCATTTTGAGGGTAACTCCGCACAAGACTTGTAAATGAACGACACTTTTGTATTAAATTTATCATACCTTGGGAGGTGAATGATCCATGCTTCGGGAAAATTTAAATTCAATTTATATAAATATTGAAGGGGTTTTGGGGTTTTGGGGTTTTGGGGTTTTGGGG